ATTATTATTATTATTATTATTATTATTATTATTATTATTATTATTATCGCCCCTGGAGGTGTTCATGTTTTCTCTTTTTGCCTTTGCCAGCCTGATGTGTGAGAAGAGGATTTTTGAAACGGTCAACAGCGTCCGCCACCCCTTCCTGGTCAACCTGTTCGCGTGCTTCCAGACACAGGAGCACGTGTGTTTTGTGATGGAGTACGCGGCCGGAGGCGACCTGATGATGCACATCCACGCCGACGTCTTCTCTGAGCCCAGGGCTGTGTGAGTGACCAAAGCCCCTCCCACTGGTGCCCCTCATCCACATAGTTATATGAATGGAGCCTCGTCATGATTGGGCAGTGCATCCATTAAAGTGACCAGAGCTTTTATTTGATATGACGTTTTGCACAATATGAACATGATGGGTTCAATTTTATAAACCTTTTTACTTTAGATTTCAAACAATGGTGTCTGATGGCGTCCTCATATGAGGACGCAGGGTCTCAGGAGGTTAAAGACCATGGTCATGAAATTAAGGGCGCTTTAAGTGGACTTATGTGATTCTGATGTCTTTTAAAAAGCAAAAGGTTGATGTGCTCTTGAATAAAATCATGCATTTGTTTTTTTCTCTCTTAGGTTTTATGCAGCCTGTGTGGTTTTGGGACTACAGTTTTTACACGACCATAAGATTGTCTACAGGTACATTTAACTCCAATATTTTTTTTTCCTTTTTTTCTTTTTTATACAAGACCTGCCATAGATTAGAAAGTCTTTTCTTGTTTTCTAGAGATCTGAAGCTGGATAACCTGCTTCTGGATACAGAGGGCTATGTCAAGATCGCCGACTTTGGGCTTTGTAAAGAAGGTGAACTATGAATCAAACCAAATGGCGTCATTTCCCGGCTTCAAAACAACAGCCGCGCCAGCAGGTTTGCTTCATCGGTCCGTGTCTTTGTGGTGTCCAGGTATGGGATTCAGGGACCGCACCAGCACATTTTGTGGCACGCCCGAGTTTTTGGCCCCGGAGGTTCTGACCGAGACGTCGTACACCCGCGCAGTGGACTGGTGGGGACTGGGCGTCCTCATCTTTGAGATGCTGGTCGGAGAGGTGAGCAGGCGCAAACGTAAGCCCAAGCCACTCTGACACAGCAGCTCTAATCGCGGTTTTCATGGCCGTCTCTCTCTTCAGTCGCCCTTCCCCGGTGACGACGAGGAGGAGGTGTTCGACAGCATCGTCAACGACGAGGTCCGGTATCCGCGCTTCCTTTCAACCGAGGCCATCTCCATCATGAGGAGGGTGTGTATGCAGAAAGGGAATCGGTCCGACATCTTCTTTTACAGCAAAAGTCTTGACTGAATAGGATTTTTCCCAATGAAACAAGCTAATTAACAGCCCAGCTTTTAAAAACAGCGACTGACTCAAATGAATGGGATTCCATTAACTTGATTTTAATCAGGTGTGCTGGAGCAGGGAAACTTGGAAAACTTGCAGGTGATTGGTCCTTGATGACTACAATTAGGAAGGTCTGTCTTTATGGAGTGATTTTACAAAAAGACTGAATTACAGTTACTGATAATCTCTCCTGTTCTTTTTAATTATTGGAAGGTGGAATCAGATTTAGAGCAAAAATAAGCAGTCAGCACCATAGATTAACTGTTATAACAGCAGTGTAAATTGAACCCTCAAATAACTGTTTCAAAGGTCAAAACATTCATATATCAGAGGTATTGGGCAAGGCTTGCAGGCTATTTGATGCCAAGTTGTTGTTTTTGTTCGGGGAAATACAAACGTTGTGGTCTCGGTGCGCTCAGCTTTTGAGGAGGAGCCCGGAGCGACGCCTGGGAGCTGGAGAAAAGGATGCAGAGGAGGTCAAGAAACACCTATTCTTCAGGGTAAGTGACAACAAAGGGGGGGGAGCTCTGAATCAGGAGAGGGTCAAAACCGGGATCCCACGTTTTCCCCCCTGTGTGTTCCAGAACATGGATTGGAACGGGTTGTTGGCCAAGAAGGTGAAGCCGCCGTTCGTACCGACTATCAAGGACGCCAACGACGTCAGCAACTTCGACGATGAATTTACCTCAGAGGCTCCGATCTTAACCCCTCCCAGGGAACCCCGAATGCTGAGCTCGGAGGAGCAGAACATGTTTTCTGACTTTGACTATATTGCTGACTGGTGTTAGTTTCATGTGAACCCCCGAGTAAACACACACACAAACACACTCTGTGAACTTTTTATTTCGTTTCCTCTGGTCCTCCTCGCCCAAGACTTTGAGGTTAAACAGGACCAGTTTAAAAGAAAAAAAAAAAAAACTAACTCTGTGCCATTGAGAAGAAAGTCCAGACGATGCCTCCTGAGGATACAAATCCACATGAAGAGCTTCCCCCCCAAAACCCTTATTTAGTTTTTTAAGAAAAAGAAAACATGAAATCTGCTGGAGTGAAGGTAGAGGGACGTCCTCCTGCACAGACTGTCGTCATCGTCATGTCCATTGTCTGACCACTGAGAATGTTTAACATATGAACTCTTAAGAGAAAGGCACCATCACAATCATGTTATCCAGTGTCACTGTTTTTTTTTTGTTGACCTGTACAGATCATATTAGGCTGAATGTTTTATTGTTTTGTCTATTTCCTTGTAAAACCCTCACCATAGCTCTGCAGAGGTCATGCCTGAAACTGGTGTTCCATGAACTAGAAAGCGCTTTCAGCATCCTCACCGAATATCTGACTACACCAAGCATCTTGACTACTACTGCTGCTGCTTCTTGACTTGAAAAAAACGAGTGAGTCCGAACACTACGTTTTCCTTGCTGGCTTCCTAGATCCCAACGAGAGCTCACATGATACGAAACAGCAGTTCATCCCGTGTTATGTGCCATTGTAAATACCACTTACAGGGAACTCGATTTCGGAAGAAAAAAAAAAGTCTTGGTTAAACGGAAAAGGAAAAAAAAGGTGTGTTCTGGTGCCCTCTAGTGGCTGAAATAATGTCAATCCCTAAGTGCTGATTGGAGTAATAGTGTGGTTTTCTCATTCCTTAATGAACAGGAGTGTTTTTGTTTTATATACCTCAGTGAAATATTTACGATATCCAAAACCAAACTTTTCCCTGTTCATGAAGCAGTAGAGGAACGTTTCTTCTGGGAACCCAATCAAGGATCATGTCAATGTTGTGGAAAAACCCATAAAACTTTTTTTTTTGTCTTTTTTGGGAAGGGGCAGGCATAAAGTAAAAATGCCATTAAAGTGCTTCACATCCTTGTTTTGAAATTATGTCTCCAGCTCGTGGATCCAGGTGACTTGTCAGTTTGCTCGTCTTATGGCTGACTCCATGTTTCAGACCTGTCTAAGAATCACTACAGGGGTAGGGACATATTATATATACATACTGTATGTACACAGTTAAGCTGAAAGCACCAATTTTATCAATAGTTTAAATATCTACATTTATTAATTATGAAAATAGATTGTACAAAGTTTTTTTTTTTTTTTTTTTTTAATTTTCTTTACCTGTGCATGTTGTTGCCAGAACAGATGTTAACTGTATGGATGGTACACCAATTACTCCAGTCACAACTGTTACCATTCATCCCGGTGTAAAAACAAGTCACTGTTTGATGCCTATCATGAATGCACAAATTAAACATTTTTAATAGTGGTGTTTCTTTCATTGCTGCCTCAAACAAGTGCTAGCATTTCATTACCCGGACAGGCTCGATTATTAAAACGACAGCCCTTAACGAAAAACCCAACATAATGAACATGTTACTAAAAACTGTGAGCTGATTTAATGAAAATCTTTTATTTTTTTTAAATTACTTAGAAACAATTCAAAGCAACAAAGTAGAACCTGGTCAATTCCTACAAAACAAAGCTTTTGTGTACAGTATGAAACCAGCCTAAAATAGCAAGCATCAATCACACTTTCCCACTTGGACATATATACATAGTACAGTATATACACGCAAATGAAATACTGTAAGTACAGTCTGCTGTTTATTTAAAGCACTGGAATGTGTATCCGCTTCATTCCTTTCAGAGTGCCTCGATAAAGGCTTGTTGTCTTAGGCAGGACATGAGAAATCTTTCACTTCCAAAACAAGATTTAGAAAAAAAAAAATCTAAGTACATCAACAAATAATGAAAAAAAAAGAGCCCCATCAGCACTGAGTCAGCAGAGGCTTCTTCACAGCTGGGGCAGTTTGTCGACCGGCGTGTCAAACTTGAAGTCTGGAGGGAAGAGTTCTGCTGCACGTGGGTAGATGAGACGGTAGGACTGTCGGATTGTGACGTCTGCAACACCGGCGATGTCGCCGATTTCTACAGGGGCGCGAGAAGCAGAGTTCTGTGGTGACGTAAACCCAAACATCCCAGTTCGCAACTAGAGCCTAAACGCAACATATGCATGAAACTCTGACCTATAAACATATTAGGCTTGCATATTAGGATCATCTTTATGGGGTTGATGGTTAAAAATATTAACAGTATTTTCTTTGCATAGCTGTGGGCCATGAACACAGATTCACTTTAACAGGCATATATAGAAGGAATTGATGGGAACTGAATGACTCAACCCCCCCCCCCCCCCTTCCTAGCGACGCATGAAGCCTTTGAGTCTCACCTTTCTGGGTCTTCTTCTCTGCAGAGGCCTGGGACGCCATGTAGATGGCTGCCGCCGCCACTGAGATGGGGCTCCTGCCGGGCACCAGGTCGAGCTCCACGGCTTTCCTGGCGATGTAGGTGGCCGCCATTTGGACCTGCTTGGGCAGGCCGAGGTTGGAGCAGAAGCGCGACATGAAGTCGCCAGTGGTGATGAGGTCCACGCTGGTCTCCAGCGCCTTCAGGATCAGCTTGAAGCACCTCCCGATCTCTTTCTTGGAGATCCTGGAGACGGCGCAGATCTCTGCAGGAGAGAAAGAGAGGGTCAGAGGCCAAGTTTGTGAAACGATAAAGAAACTACAAACCTCATTTCAGCTTTTTTCCCCTTCTTCCCCCCCCCCCCCCCATTTAAATTCTTCAAATAAAGAGCTCCAAGTTGAACACAAAACTCAACAAAAAGTCTGTTTTGTCTATCCAAAAGAGATTTGATCCACCTTTCATCCACTTTCTGAAACATGGAATGCATCCTTTTTCAGAGCCCTACTGAAAGGCTGCATTTTCAGCATTTAACTTCCACACATTTAACTTCCATTCCATGACAAACAGGTCCAACTCTAAAGGAAGGAATCAAACGGACCTTTAAAAGTTCTGGGTACGCCCTCTTGTCTGCATGCGATGTAGAGGCAGGCGGATGCGATGGCATCATTGGCTCGCCCCTTTAGGCTCTTCTGTTCGTACACCTGCTTGAATAAGTTGTTTGTTCTGTCCTGTAGGGAAAAGAATAACCAGAAACTATTATCTTATGATCAAATCACCAGGGCATTAATGGAGGTGTGATTAGAATAGAACATGCAACTACAACAGAGAGGGAAAATGCAACACTTTGTCATGCTGATCCATTCAGAACCACCCCCCCCCCCCCCCCACGGATTGTTTAAATCTCTCGCTCAGGTTACAAAGGGTCAGTTGTGCCGACCTGCTCGTAAACAGACAAGTGTGTCGCGGCTGGAATGGGGGCTTTTGGTTTACCCCGTTAAACGTACTATTATGTTCCTTGGCAGGTTGATGCGATCTGCCATGGTGCTGATCTCTTTGAAGGCGTTCAGCATTGCCCGATCGGAGCTGCTCATGGTCCGCCGGTTCTGATACTTGGAGTTGCCAAATTCGTCAAAACTGGCTGCACCCGTCCCCTGCAGAGGAAAAGGGGGTTTAAAAAAAAAAAAAGAAAAGAAGATTAAATAGAAATAAGTCTGTTGAATTCCAGAAAAAGCCGCAGCGTAGTTTGGTGAAATCGTCATAACCGCCATGCTTTGGTATCCTTTTGACACGTCGCCCACCTTTATTGTCATAATCTGGGCTTTTTAAAAATCTAAATTGAATGAGCACCGCTGTTATAGCTGGTGGGAATGACCTCTCCGTTGCTTCTCTCCGGTACAATGCAGCTGAAGAACCCTGACAACAATGGCGCTCTATTGTTTAAACGAAGGGAGGAGGGGAGCTCGTCATGTTATTTCTGTTTCTATACTTGTACAGCAGTCGTCCCCCCCCCCCTACACAGTCAGTCTTCCTTATCTAGTCATTTGTGTGTGGGACATCAACTGCAGGCCTGAGCTTCGGTCCCATGTGCTTTCTTACGCGTGCTGCATTTTTTACACCCCGTCTTCTCATTAGTAGTGTTTACTTTATTCTTGGTCCTCCTAAATCACCCTTGCTCTGTTGTTTCTCTTTAATGTGACGTGGCTGTTCCTACAACGTGGTCATTTCTACCACCGACAGCCCCGACAGCTGCGGGTTCGTCGTCATTCTTGCGGATGACGGCGCTCTGTGCTCTCCTTTGAGGGAGTGGTGCGGATTCTCGGGTTGCCGGTCGACTTCTCGGACACGGACTATTGCAGTTTCGCAAACGGGCAACTTTGCAAGTACAGAAAATCCAACCCCTTGACCCCCTTGCCCCTTAAAGGCCGGGATTTTTTTCCACGTCCGACTACCCATCCGTCACATTGCTCTGCTGGATTTTACCGTCTAACTTTTTACCGTCTCAGTCATGATACTGAAAGCATCCCCCCGTGTGGCCTTTTCAAGTCTGGGAAATCAAAGCATCCCAGCAAACTGTCTTCAACCTCCTTAGTGCAGTTTTCAGGGTTCATATGGTGGCAGGTTAACCATAAACAATTGGAGGTGAGGAGAGCCAAACAGAGGTCTGATTTTCCAAAACAGCAGCACAAAAATATCCACTAAACTCTCACCTTAACTACAGATGGTTGCATCTTTTGGGGGCATTTCCATGGTGCGGCTCGGCTGTACGAGCTTTTTTTGTTGTTGTTTTTTTTTAAATTTCCCTTAATGGCTGGTGCCTTCTAACGGTTACAATTTTAGCACCTACTCAGCCAGGCCAACGGCAGACTGCCGGGCAGCAATTGAGCAGGGTGTTATATAATTCAATAAGTAATTCCTTTCAATGAACCCCATTCCTCTAACGCTGCAGTAAAAAAACATTGGTAATGTTCGGTAATTATCTATGTTGAACATCCCTAATACACAAATCAACAATCCGTCATGGTCGTTTCTGCTTGTGTTGATCCAAATTTCGTCAGCCCGTTTTCCTCTTAAGACAGGGGTGAGCAACTCCGGGTCTCCCTGCTTAAACACCTGATTCACATCAACACAACATCAGCAGTCCCGTGCAGACCTTAATCTTTGGAAGAGATACATTTTATCTGAATCAGGCGTGTAGAAAGCAGGGAAACCTCCAAAGCATGCAGGACAGCGGCCATCGGGGGCCCGGAGCTGCGCACCCCTGTGTTAACACGTTATTTTGTGATGGGAGACCACCTGAGCCGAGTCGTGGCGAGAGACGGAGGGCTGATTGAAAATCCCCAATTTGACTGCTGAGGCTGACACTGAGACACCCGTTTCCAACTTTAAAATCTTACCTTGCTGATCATGGTGGTGAGATCTCCTCCGTTGAGAAGTGGGTTCTGGGCGTCGCCCACTCTGGATGGATCTTTTAGAGCTTTTTCGTTGGAAAACGTCCTCCACTCTGAACCCACGTCGATGACACGGTCACCTGAGGAGACGACAACCGGTTTTAAGCACTTTGACAGAGAGCTATAGCGATTTCTACACCTGATTTACTTCTAAAATTTTCAGAGCAGCAAGCTACAGCGGCCAGATTTTATAGCTTCATAGCTATAAAATAATCAGATATAATGCAGCAAACTATGGTTGATGATGTGATTCCATGGTATCCTTTCAATAAAAACATGATATACGATACTTGCAACAGACTCAGCTAAAATGGATGGAAACAAATAAAACTGAAATGTGGGTTTAGGATTTTAACTGTGGAATAAAAGAAAGTACTGTTTCAATTAAAAAAAAAAGTTGAACCCTTTTTGCTGGTGGTGTGCTCATGCGTAGCCGTGTTACATCCCTCAAGAATAATTAATGAGGGTGGTGCAACATTTGGTTTCATTTCCTCATCCAAACTCATCCTCAGCAGACTGTGCTGGGCTCTACATGTACCGCTGGGAATCAAGTTTGGGTCAAAAGAAACTATGTAACAGCAGCACAGAAAACTATCCACACTGGGTCTTCACCTACACGTAACCCCATCTGTTCCTGGAAATGCGTAGCTGTGTAGGGGATTAAAGGCGATATCTTAATCCTGTCTTATTTTCCTCTCTTTGCTGTTCATGAAGAAGCAAAGTGACATTCATCTCCTTAGAGACCAGCCGAGGCTGTGGAAGCGAGACGTTAAGCTTGCATCAGTGAGTGACTGCCGTCGTTGGGCTCCCACCTGACCTGCATGATGCTGAAGGGGCTCATTAGAGGAGAACTCGCTGCTCCCTGCAGATTTACCCTTCCATCTGTATCACATGCTAGGAGCAGTTTGCCTACATATAATTTGCACTTGTATTTTCAGTACGACATATATTTCACCCCAGTGACTGTTTAATATTGAATATAGATAGATAGATAGATAGATAGATAGATAGATAGATAGATAGATA